AAGCATTGCTAACAGATGGTATCAAGAAGGCAGAATGCCATCACACACCATCAGTCTCTGTTAATACTTTTAGGACTAGCTGCTATACAGGTGTAATAGCTTACAGCATATGTCATACACTGTACCGGTCCTTCAATTTTCCTCACCCAGAGGGCATCACCTTAAATAGCAACCTTTCTTACCCAACATGTCAAGATTGAGAAACTTGCTGCATATCACAATTACAGTTCAGACACGGAATTGAATTGCTGTCCTTGAAAACAGCAGGCATCTTGTTACCTCTTAAGTAGCAAATCTTAGTATGACCTTTGGATTGAGAGAAGTATAACCATTCTTGGCTGCTATAGTAGCTCAACAAATAAATGTATTGTTTTCCTTGGCTTCTGAAGCTGATAGTTGAAAATCTGTATTGTTATGTGTCCAGTCGGTGAATTTTTTTATAACCATCTGTGCCTACAGTGAATTGTGAACTTTGAAACTTTGCTTGTAATCTTTTCTTCATTGAAAGAAGTTACAACCTGAAGGACTAGCAAATAGGCAATGGGTTAAATTTGTCCAAAATGCAACAAAATAGAAATAAGTACTTCCCTACTTTACCCCCCCCCCGCTTTTTTTTTTTTCCTCGGAGAAGTTTATCACAGCACAATTTTCAAGGAATCTGGGAATGAAATTTAGCATGTTGAACATGACAGCAAAATATGGAGTGCTTTTTCTTAAAAGAAATATCCTTGTCATTTACTGTGCATCTAGTATGGAGGCGAGAATATTTCTTTTCCTCCAGTATGAATCTAACCATCTTTAGCAGAATTTTCTGCTCGGTCACAGTTTATATAATACTGCAATACATACCCATAATTTAATTTCTTAGTATTTTCTTAATAGCATAGTCTTTGGCATGGACTATTAGTTCATGAGGCTTTAATGCATAGAGATGTGTATTTTGGAAAGGTAGACATGGTAAAAAGAGCTTATTGTCATGTAGTCCTTTATTTTGCTTCTTTTACTGTTAATTATGTGGGGAAATCCTTTGCCATGTTCAGTTTTTTCTTACCTTTAAGAAAGCTTTACTGTTTCCTTCATGAAACAGCACAGATTCCCCCTAGGCTTGGAACAGTAGTAAATATGTGTCTGTGAGAATTAATAATGTTTGAAATCCACAATGTACTTTGATGCTTCTGAATTTAGGGGTAGATTAACCTTTGCACTGTTACTGGAAGGCAACTGTGTTTGTTCTTTTCTGCTAGTAAAATGGAGGGGGAAATATTTTTATATCTGTATATCTGTAAGAGAGATAGGGGTCAAATGGCTTCTTTAAGACAAAGCAAAGAGTATGAGATCTGACATTGCAAATTAAATGTCCTACGTGTACAGCCCAGGGCTTTGATTACTAGCAAGGGCTTCTCCCCTGCTCCCCAGTATACAGTAAACCAGTATGTCATCTGTCTAAATATAAACTGGATATGTATAATGATTTTAGTTTAGAGCCCTTTTTCCTCTCTCATATAGCTAAACACAGCAGTAGTGAGGCAGAAAATCCAAAGAAAATGATGCCAGAAAGAACTCTGCAAAAAATGTTTTGTTGCCAGAGGCCACATATTCTCGCGGTGAACCCTCTGTGGTCAGCGAAGGAAATGAGGCACATCCTCTCCTGTGCCAGATTTGGAGGGCAACTCAATGAAACAAGTGCCAGAGCAGTGGAATAACTCGTGCAGATAAAGGCCAGCTTGGACACTGGAAGTCTCCTATCAGTGCAAGACTCTCTGGGATGCTGCCTGACGATTTAATTGTAACTTTGAATGCTGTGACATGTGAACAAGCTATTGCATGTCAGCTGCTCTGCAGAAATTGTTTATGAATGTGCTCTCAGCATGAATGCAAGGTAAATTAAGGTTGCAACAAAAAAGGTGTAAGGTGTATGTATTAATTTTAGTTCAGGATGCCGCAGAGTAACACGGACAACTTGCTAAGGAGCAATTGATGGACAGTATCGTATTAATATCTTGTTTGTACAAAACCAATAATGAATGAAACACCTTTTATATTAGATGCTTGCAAAAGCAATTAGGACTTTTGAACATAAATAGAAAGTATCATCTTATCAATTTTGATGGCTTGAAGCAGAAAGGTTTTGTTTTATTTAGATGGTCTTTAAGGTCCCTTCCAGCTCAAACCATTCTATGATTCTATGATTCTCGTTTGCTCAATCACAGGAAAAGCTTGATAAGGGGCCATTTTAGTGCTCTTAGCGTTAGAAATTAGAACTTTTGGATTGAACTGAAGAAGAAAAGGAAAGTCTCTGTACCCTTTTCTTTTTTTTTTTTCAGAACAGAAGGAATGTGGGTTAGGATTTAGGAGGAAGAATGTAAGATTTTTGATCTAGGACTCAAGTTGCACTTGTCAATCTGTTCTTGATGTGTCTCAGACTCACTGTAATGCAATGAAATATTAACTGTCCTTACTACTGTATGTAAAGCAAAGGAATAATCCCTGACTCAATAGGAGTTCAATGCCATCATTCTGTAACTTCCCAGAAGGCAGAAAAAGCAACCCATAAACCACAGAAATTGAAGATTCCATGCTACCTAGGCTTTCCATGATTTGAATTTGTGATAGTAAATTTCAAAATCACAGTAGAAATTTGTCATATAGAGAATAAATATTTTATGCCTCTCCCACACTTGTAAAATCTCTTTTCTGAAAGGTGTGAACTGTTACGATTATTTAAATGGAGTAACTTTTTTAAAGCAACATGTTGATGTGCTTAGAAGTCACTAATCAGGTTTTCCCTTTTAAAAAAGGTGGTGGATTGAGCAGCCTGTGCCTGTATTTTTGCAAGAAAGGAATTATATTTTTTTTGGAAATTATATTTACCCTGTAGGTGTAAATATTTCAATCAGTAGAAAAAGCAGATAAACATTGAATTTCTCCCCGTTTACAGGGGTAACTAATGTGTGTGTATATAGGGTTGGGGTACACAGGTTAGAAGAAAAGCTAATCATCTGAAAGAATGTTTTTATCTTTTCAATGATATCATCTGGTCTGATAAATTATTATTACCTCTAGCTGCAAATCTTGCCCACATATGTCCTAATTATTTCAGAATGTGAATGATGCAGGATTAGAGTTTCTGGTTCAGGCCAGTTCTTCTACTGCCTTTGGTTCATTTATTCATTATAGCCATAAAATCAACTCGGAGTGGCACAGGGGGAATTTTGATAGTGGCTGTGAGACCCCTCAGCATGTAAGATTGTGTTTGGATTTTAACACTGTATAGAGGATTAAACTGCTCATTTTTATGTTATATGTCAATATATCTGGATGTTTATTTTGATAAAACATTTTCTTTGCCTGTATTTATAAGCAAAATGGGTGGTGGCAGTCATTTTTAACAGGCCTGAACTTTTTGTTTCTGGTTTGAGCACATATCTTGGGAATTTGAGTAGTGTTATTGTGCAGATTTTGTTTCTTAGTGTAGGGAATAGCAGAAATAGCCATGTGCTCCCGTATGTGAAATCCTGTGAAGAAGGCAAGAAGAAAATACTGAGGGTGCATTGAATTGCTTTTTGTCCTCCTTCTAAATGTTTGTGGTTTTGCACTGAAGCAGCCTATAAAAAAGCCTTGGGCATCGTGTATAGGGAAGGTGGCCATCACAGTCCTGCTTATGGCATCATACTCTGGCAAGTCCTTGGGAACTGTAAGCTACAAGTCCCTTTGGGAACTCTATAAACTCCTACTCTGCATGTTTAAATGTCTTCAGAGGGTGAGATACTGGCTCTTACGCAGATGCTGTTATAAGGGAAAAGAACCCGTGTTGCTAGATGTGTCAGCAATCAGGATTTCAAGGACTTAGTGTGTCAGCATCAGCCTAGGAATGTTCAGAAATCCTTAAGAATGGAGTTGCTCTGCCTGGAGGAAGAGCTCCAGCGGGATGCCTCTAATGAGTGCAGTACCTCAAGGATCTCTACTGGACCTGCTCAGCTTCATGTCTTCGTCAGTGACTTGGAGGATTTGGCAGAGCATATTTTACAGATGATAGCAAGTTGGGGGGGAGCAGTTGGCACAAGCAGGGCTACTGCTCAGAAAGACCTCAGCAGGCGCCAAGAGAGGGTTCATAAGCAACTCATGAAAATCAGCGAGAACAAATGTAATATCACACGCATCGGATTTGGGAAGGACTAACCGCTGGTAACGGTACAGGGTGGGGAGCAGCTCTGCTGAGAAGAATGTGGGAACCCTGGCAAGCTCACCGTGAGGCAGCAACAAAGGCTAACTGCCTCCTGGGATGTCTTAACAGGAGCACTGTCAATGAAGAGAGTAAAGTGATTTATCTCCCTTTACTCAGTTCTCATTAGACTGCATGTGGAATAGCATCTACCCAGTTTTGGGCACCCCAATTCAAAGAAGGCACGCATGGGAGCAAGTCCAGCAGCATGTCTGCAGTCTGACCACGGAGCTGGAGCATTTCCCCTTGAGGATTGGCTTTGGGGACACCTGATAGCACCCTGATACCTAGAAGGAGGTTAAGGAGGAGGCCCAGATGGGCTTTTTTGGGGAGGGTGAAAGATAACTGTCTGGTCGATTTGGGCTTGTTTTGCCCTGTCAATATGAGATGCATTAAGAAACTAAATATTGTGGAGAGTAAGAGCTATGAGACACGTAGGCAGAGGGGAAATACAGAAGAAGAGTAATGAGACATTAGTTATTGTGTGAGCAAAGGAGCTGAGATCCTTGACCTGTAGAAAAAGTGGGATTTTGTAGGTAGCTAGTCATGGCATAACTTGTCCTAGATTGGAGGATCATTTTTCAGAAAATATTTGATTTTTACTTCCATATTTACTTGAGCAGTTTCATGAAAACTTACAGCAACAGCTTTCCATCAGAAGTTGCAAAAATTATATTTTGTTATTATTGGTTACTATAGGAATGTTCATAAAGTTGAAAGAATTACAGCTTTATGAAAAATATAAAATAAATCCTGATTTTTATATTTTTCTTTTAAGGATTCAGAAAGAACTTGCAGAAATTACATTAGACCCTCCTCCAAACTGTAGGTAAGTTCACGTGGATTTAATTAATTTGGAATATGGAAATGGATTATATGGAATTATAGAAATTACATAATTTGCTGGAATAATTTTTAGCTATTCCTTCATGCTGTTTACTTAGTAATTTTGGAAGATGATAGATACGATATTGTGATAGATAACATGTTTGCCTACATACAGGGAATTGATATGACATACTTCCTGGTAACAGAAGTGATGGTAAAAACTGATGAATCCTATGATGCATTAATAGATATGGGTAAAAATCAAATCACCCTTCATTTAAGGTATTCAATCAATAGCCTTTTGTCTGATTCTGTAAAGTCTAATCTTGGTGACAGTTGCTGCTATGTTTGATTCCTTTCTATCGTGAATTGTTAACACACTGTGCACTGTGAATATAATGGAGAAGGGAATTTGTTAGAGGCACAAACTATTATTTATCTTCTGGCTGTGCTTCTGGTGATCAACTATGATATTCAGTGGAAACTTCCTGAAGTAGAGCTTATCATGGCACAGCCTTTCTAATAATGACTGTGCACTCGTTTGCTTTCGGTTTGTTTTGTGGTTTGTTGTTTTGGGTTTTTTTTGTCAGGTGTGTTTACTTTTGTTGTGTTTAAAATTTGCCCTGAAATGAGTAATGAGGTAGGCCTAGAAACCCTCGCTGCCTGGTGGCTGGACAGCATACAGTTGTTTTTAGATGTCTGTCTTGCGCTTCTTATCTGTCAGCTTGACATATGGTCAGTGTTGGAGCTGGGCCAGGGCTGCACAGCGCTGCTTAAAGGAACCCCTGCCACTGCATATCTCGCAGTGAGAGGCTGGGCTTGGTGCAGAAGAGTAGCTTCCATCCAGACCTGCCAACCTATTTCAACTGATGTGGTTAGTAGGATTCATTCTATTAGTGCAGTAAAAAGAAACTGATAGAAATAGCTGATTGCATGCAGCTCTTATAATTAATCCCAGTAAGTTTCAGTATTGAATTAACTTAAGTGACTGGTAGTAAAAATGACAGTCAGCTTGATTGTTTTGGTCTCTTGGCAAAAGTATGTGTGAGAAGATATTCTAACAAGATTTGACGTGGTTATGCTGGATCTCACTTAAGTCAAGTGGCTACATGCTAAAGTGCTGCATAGTGAAGTAGCCTTGCAGTAATAGTGTTCAAAGAGTATTTCAGTCAATTAGGATGAACAGTTCTTTTCTAGATAAAACATTTTAATAGCTAAGCTGTTCTGTCATACTTATGACTGTGTGTGAGTCTTCAATCACATCAAAGCTGTTTCAAATGGCAGATTTTACTTCAGTGTTGATGACTGATGCCTATTAGTGGATTGATTTGCTGAGATGAATATAGAACTTCAGTCTACTGTAGAATAATGCATAAGTCTATGAACTGAGTCTAAAGGCTTATAGTTTTTAGGGCAGTGTCATTTGTTCTAGTTTTCTGAATCATTCCCTTTATAAAAGAGCAGTTGTTTCAGTATACCAGATACGTTAGTTTGAATTCCTGTTGCTAGCAAGTGTAAAGTGAGAGTTGGCTGTCTTAGCGGAAAGCCCTTTGGTGACTTGCAATTTCGAAAATAAAAAGTGAGCTGGAGACTTCCTCTGCTGTTTTTGTTTGGGTTTGTTGTTTGGTTTTTTATTAATTATTTACGCTAATGATAAAATGACTATAAAGTGCCCTGTGTGATGCTGTTCTGCAGAATCAAAAATTACATTGAACTTTGTGTGTCTGCTGCTTTAACACGGGTCTTAAGATGCAGAACTATTTCATGTTGTGATCTTGATAGATAACCATTAGTAACTTTACTATTAGCAAATGTTTTTATAGTAAATACGGAATCACTTCATTTAGCTTTATGCTCTGTTGACATAGTCTAAACAGGGTTTTCATTTGAACTTCATCTATTTTTCTATTCTAGTTAAATATTACAAAATAAATACATCAGCCAGACATGATTCTTCAGCATAATAAAGAAAGGCAAGCTTTTATAGTACAGTATCTCATATCCTAAAGTATTGATACGTCCTTTCCTGGGTTTAGTGAAATTTAGATCATTTTTATAAGTTGTTAGATTTTTCTAGTAACAACACCCCCATCATATTTCAAAGATTTCCTTACAGATGTAGCTGCTTGAAATGGTGGTGACTCCCGCTTACATTCAGTATGTGTCATCTTTTACATATAAAATAAATCATGACTGGGCAATAGGAGTATGATAAATCTCAAAACTAAATGTCACAGAAGATGTGAAGAAAAGTAGTCGTATTCAAGAATACCCTCTAAGTAGTTATTTAGAAAGTTCTGATAGTTGGGATTTTGAGCTGAATTGGAACTTGGGTGGAATTTTGCAAGATGTGTTGCAAGACTTTTTTTTAACTACAGCAAGCCAGAGCTTTAGGTTTGTCTCATTCAGGAAAAAACCCAAAATGGAACAGTAACTAGTACAGTAGCATCCTATAATGGCACGATAGGCTACACGGTCAGTACAATCTCCAAGGGAGTTGCAGCTTCCACTTCTGCAGCAGCTGCAATCTTAACACTTCCCTTGCCTCATCCCCACTAAGAGAATAGGCTGTATAATCTTGTTTGTCTGGAAGACAAAAAAAGTCTTGCTCACACATGCCTTGTAATTGGCAGATTATCACTGCTGTGACTTGCAGCATATTTCCAAAAATGTGGAAAGCTGTGGATTTCAGAGTTCCTAAAAAAAAAATAATAATCTGTCATGTTTGGCTTTAAAAGAAGATTTAATTTTATAAGACATTAGTTTTACCTGCCTCAATAGATATTCATGTTCTGTAGTTTGGGTTCTGGGCAATTGCAAGAGTCCTCTTGACTCCACAAACTTTGGATCATTCCTCAGGACTGAGGAAGTATGATGTTCTGAGTCACAAAAAGTCAAACTGGGGGGCATGTGGGAGTTGAGCAGCACTGCTATTTTTGGAGGAGGGCATGTCATAAAAAAGCCTGTTATACTTCATATTTAACAGGAATGTAAACTGGATGTATTTGGTATGTGTTGTGTCCCATCCCTCTGTCTCCCTCCCAGTTACTTTTTGATAGAGCTGAGTTTACTGTCAAGGAGGGTCCTGAATGCTAAGTGGGTACATTTGTATTGTCACATATCACTTCAGCATTGTGAAATTTTGTCAGGAGACAGTGTACTTAAATTGTAGGCATTTGCTACTCTTCTTTTTTTATCCTCATTGAAATACCTTGAAAGCTTGATTGCTAGAAACCTTGCACATACTTTAACTCCGAGTATTGCAGAGCATACCTTTTCTCACTGGTGATAAACCCCTCATAAATGTCATTTTCATATATTGACTTGCTGGAAGAGGGGAATAGTCAGGGGTTCTTGTAGCTAAAATAATGCCTTTTCAAATTTTCACATTTGGACTGTGTCTTGTCCAAGAGAATCGATTTCTTAGAATACTACTTCTGTTGTCAGCACTGTATACTATTTCTCTTCTCACTGGCAAGACAGCAACATCTCTGCGGCAACTTATACCAATTGCTTACATGGGAAACTAATATTTGGAAAGTATTTAACATATTTTTAGCTTCTTTAAATGTGAACTTAGCAGCTGGAAACAAGGAGAGCCAGCGAAAAGTGAATAGCAGCTCTCTGTGGACACCGCTTGGAGTTAACTGCTCAAAATTTTCTGATTAAGCCACTGTTGTTACCTATCTTCTTCTTCATATTTTCTTTTAATATTTCAGCATATTTGTCACCATTCTTCTCTTTCCTGTGTATTTATTGCGATTCCTTTGTGTTGTACATTTTTTCTCCCATAGGAATAGGGATGGTGCTTGAGGCTCAGAAATGTACTTTAAAGGACTGTGCAGCTTAGTGGGTAAATTGGCTCTCGTTTGAGAACAATCAGTTAAACCCCCTGCATGTAGTCTTATCTCTTCTATTAGTTTGGAATCATTACATTTAATTCCTTGCTTCTTATACTATCTACAGAACTGATAAACAACCAACATCTTGGTATTTTGCTTGTGAAAACTAATCACACTGAAAAGACTTAAAACACAGTTATTTTTGAGGTAAATGTAGAGAAGAGCCAAGTGGAATGGCAAATTATTCAGCTTGGCTTAGGGAGAGAGGCCAGCATGCCTGATGAATGGTTCTTGTGCTATTGACTGTATGGAGTCCAACATTCCTGTTCAATATTGCTCTGTTTTTGCTGAAATGTTGAATCCAGGATCTTCACAACTCTAAGAGATTACATGAATTCCATCAATTTAAGTTGCTGTTCTTGGGACCATTTGTTTAAACTCCTGCTTAGTGCTACTTTAAAGCTAAGGAGACAGCACAAGTGCCAGGAGCAGAAAACAAACGTTAGGACAATTTCATGGGAAGATCAGCGGGGGGAAGATTGTCAGCTTTGCTCTACAAAACAGAGAGAGAGAAGTGTGGCTACATGGGGCAGCAGGTGCAGCAAGTATCTAACATGCTGGCCTGGCCTACTTGAGTCTTCTTCCTTCCCTTTCACCTGAGGAACTTGTTAAGGAGGTCTTCCCCTCCTCCCTATGCATACACACACACACACACACTAGCACATGGAAACTCACATAGCTTTCCAGCATGAGCAAAGAGATGCCTTACAGTTTTTCAGATCATATGCTTACAACATCAGTTTGACTTGGGGGGGGGCTGAATAATTTTGGCTGTGTTTGCTTAAAATATTTAAGTAAATGTGAAAATATTTGGAGAAAGCAGTGAGCAATGCCTTTTCCAAATGCAAAACCAATTATTCTTGGGTGCTGGAAGGATTCTGTTTTTAAAGCAATTTGCTCAACCTAAATTTGCTTCTCTTTTAGTTACTCTTCTTTGGTTTGCACAGATTGTTTACATAATGTTTTTTGGTAGCAATAAATGCTTCCTCAGTAGCACTGGGTCTGCTTAGGTAGTATCCACTACATATTTCACTACCTTTAGGTGGCTGTTGAGTTCTTTTTACTCTTGCACAGAATGCACAGGCTCCTCTGGCTAAAG